ATTGAAAAAAACTAAGTAAATAAAAAACATTTGGGTCACTATGACCTTCAAACCCTGGTCCTCTGCGTACCAGCCCAGTCTTCTACCGCTAAGCCACGCCGGGTGCTTCAAACTTCCTTCCAAAGTGACGCTAGGCCGGCTTCTTGTCAGGAAAGGAGTCTCGCTAATATGAGTAATAAAAGTGGTTTACAACGGCAAAGAAACAACGAGACGTCACACAATGTGAATTGCGCAGCGAATGGCTCATCGAATGCTCCAACCCATACAAAAGTCGAGTCAAGTTCCTTGAAAATGTGGCACATACCCACGCTGGGGGATTGACCAAGAACCGGATAACTATCATGAAAGACATTTTTTTAAATAGAAAATAAACGAAGAAGTTTTTGTCACCGTTACTTGGTAATACCCCTTCCCACTTGATTCGATATATATATATATATATATATATATATATATATATATATATATATATATATATATATATATATATATATATATATATATATATATATAAACAGTCCGACATGTGTGAGAGCAACAATTCTCTAATGGGCAGAACTAACCAGTAGATGCCACGCACACTTTCAACTTTTGTTCACTCAGTATTCGTTACAAATCTTCGTTTCTTCGAAGAAGTGTTGCAGCACCTTCATTGTTTTGGATGGCCATGGACCTATTATTTATTTCAATGCATGTGACCGCTCTTTATTAACAGGTTACGATTAAACTAATCACCAGAAATAAAAAGTAAGTTGAAACAAGGCGAATTTTATAGTGCCATACTAACTTAACTGAAGTGTATTGCAATGAAGCGGCGCATTTGAATTAAAAGGGAATTTGGAAAAGTAATAAAATCTACCGAAGAATTATTTCAACACTTGGACCTCTTTGAACATTTGATGAACTCCTGCAATGCATCGGTAATCTTCACATCGCTGTGGCCAAGAGACAATGCCCCGAAAGAAAGCATATTGTCACAGGGTCGTGACGTGGCTGAAGGCAGGAGACTGAATGGTGCCCCGCCGCGGTGGTCTAGTGGCTAAGGTACTCGGCTGCTGACCCGCAGGTCGCGGGTCCGAATCCCGGCTGCGGCGGCTGCATTTCCGATGGAGGCGGAAATGTTGTAGGCCCGTGTGCTCAGATTTGGGTGCACGTTAAAGAACCCCAGGTGGTCGAAATTTCCGGAGCCCTCCACTACGGCGTCTCTCATAATCATATGGTGGTTTTGGGACGTTAAACCCCCCATATCAATCAGGAGACTGAATGGTCAGATCAAACTGTTTATATGGGCAAACCTGTGCCCGGTAAACAGGTAGTCGGGTTACAGTAGCACACTCGCACAGATAGCGGTGAATGCAGCGTCGGCCGTCGATCAACTGACAAACGGCGAAGCGCCATAGAACATTCTAGCATTATCGCTAGCGGCGACATAGATTCCATTAGCATCTGAAATGCTCATGAAGTGGGCGTAATCTGAACAAAATGATCTACTGCAGTCCTCGAACACTGTAGGTGCGGTTCGCGCTGAGAATCGCGTGGCAGCGTAACGAGGTGGTAAGAAAGCTTGAGGAAAAAACGTGACATTGCACCCCTATCAAAAAGGCATCGCCCCGATGCTTTAACAGAAGATGAAAGTGCGATAATATTGTAAGAAAGTACAAATAATAAAGCATAATACAGCAATAAAAACAACAAAATACACTCTTCATGTTCGCTAACGTTCATGAAACGACTTGAGGCGCACGACATGAACGACTGCAGTTCGCGATTGGCGCTGTTGAGAGTTCGAAATGCCGTCGGGGACAACCTCATAGTCGAGAGCGCCGAGACGTCGTACTACCCTATATGGTCCGAAGTACCATCGAAGAAGTTTTGCACTAAGTCCACGTCGGCGTATGCGCGTCTATACCCAAACACGTTCAACGGGCTGGTATTCCACGAAGCGTCACCGAAGATTGTAATGGTGGTGGGCGGTCGTCTGCTGATTCGAGATGCGCAGGCGGGCGAGTTGACGAGCTTCTTCAGCGCGCTGAAGATAGAGGATGACGTCGAAGTTTTCTTCGTCCGTGACGTTGGGCAGCATTGCGTCGATCGTCGTTGCCGGGTTTCTTTCGTAGACCAACTTGTACGGTAGCATCTGTGTTGTCACCTGCACGGCCGTGTTGTATGCAAAGTTGACCTACGGAAGGATGGCGTCCCACGTCTTGTGTTTGACGTCGACGTAGATGACCAGCATGTCGGCGATTGTCTTGTATAGCCACTCGTTGAGACCATTTGTCTATGGGTGGTAGGCGGTGCGGGATCGTCTGGCTATGTCTCAAGATCGCTCCAGCAGTAAATGCCGTACCTCTATGGGTGATGACAACCTCTGGGACGCCATGGCGAAGGACGACGTTCTCAACGAAGAACTTGGCTACCACTTCGGCGCTACTTTTGGGAAGGGCTTTTGTTTTGAAGTAGCGGGCGACGTAGTCACTAGCTACGACGATCCCTTTGTTTCCCAAATTCGACGTCGAAAACGGCCCCAGTAGGTCCATCCAGATTTTTCGGAACGATCGGCGAGGTAGTTAGATCGGCTGAAGGAAGCCCGCTGGCGTTGTCGACGGTGTCTTGCGTCGCTGAAACTCTCAGCATGTCTTCACGTAATAAGCGAGGTCGGCGGTAAGGCGCGGTCAGTAGTCCCTTTCTTGTATCCTCGCGAGCATGCGGGAAACACCAAGGTGTCCGGCCGTTGGATCATCGTGCAGGGCCTGGAGAAGTTCTGGTCACAGAGCTGAAGGCACCACAAGAAGTTACTTGGCTCGAAGTGGCGAAAAGTTTTTTTTTTTGAGAAGGTCGTTTCGCAGCAAAAACGACGTAAGTGCGCGTTTGAATACTTGAGGAACAACGAAGGTACTGCCCTCGAGGTATTCGATTAGGCTCCTAAGTTTCGGGTCAGTGCGCTGGCGTTCAGCGAACTCGACGGCAGTTATCGTTTCCAAGAAAGAGGCGTCATTCAGGTCTTCGGGCGGCGGTGGGTCGAGGGGGGCTCACGACAGGCAGTCGGCGTCAGAGTGTTTTCTGCCTGACTTGTAGATGACGATAATGTCGTATTCTTGAAGTCTCAGACTCCGTCGAGCAAGGCGACCTGAAGGGTTCTTCAAGTTATCTAGCCAGCACAAGGCATGGTGCTCGCCTTCAACGACGTCTTGCACGGCTGTTGATTCTTGAGTGTCGACGTAACTGCTGATGCTAAAGCGAGGACGAATGGCGACTTGGCCTTCCAGCACATTCAGGGTACGCCTTACTGACGATGTATGCAGCGGCAGTGTTTTTTTTCTGTGGATAGTGTTATCGACTTTGTTCTCAGGTCAATGACCACACCATGGAGGCTCAAGCAGTCCATTCCAAGAATGACATCTCTCGAGCACCGTGGGTGTGGTTTGCGCTAAGAATCACGTGGCAGCGTAACGGGGTGATAAGAAAACGTGAGGAAGAAACGTGGCAATATTTGCGCATTTAAGTCTATTCCTAGGAGACGGCAAACGGCACCTAAAGTGTTTTTGCGTAAGGCAGAGTCTCTATTGCAAGAAATGAGGTAATGTTCAGTTGACTAATTTACTCCGCAAAAAGAACAAAGAGGGAAGGCTGCCAGACCATCTTTGTGTAAATATAAATTCAGCTCCGGAATTCGGCAACGCAGTCTAGTGATTGCGACTTCAATTCTCCTAGCTTGAAGTATTTTACTATATATTTCAATAATATAAGAAGTGCTTGTATTCTAATGTGGCTGTTAGTGAAGGTGCAGGAAATTCTTCTAAGAGCAGCTTCCTTCCTAATCTAGCGCCTATCAAGAATTTGGATGCCGGTAATACAGAATAACAGACCCATTTAAAGAAGACAGGGCCAGCTTATCTGCCATTTTATTCATAAATAGGCCCTTATTTTCTAGAACGTAGGCCAATTTGATCAAATCAAGATGTGGGGAAACTACTGCTTTGAAAGCACTCCAAGCATGCGAGTTCTCATTTTCAGTAAAGGAGGCACATACTTATAGTGAATGCGTCACAATTACAGCGGCACTTACGGATGCCGTTATTTTGCGGAGAGCTAGACTTGTCGCTAAAAATTATGCTTCAAAAATAAGAGCAAAGTCTGGAAGGCGAAGAGAAAAGCGTGAGCCATGAAGTTCTTCATCGTCGTCAGCCACAGCGTCCAAAACTACACAAAATTATTGCACGTATGTAGCGAGCGCTATGCTTCCTCAAAGAATGACAAAGCATGGCTTGGTGAATGTTTCTCTACTACACAAAATTATGATAATATCTGGCGTAGTGGGTGTCCTACAACTATTTTTTCAGCAGTTACCCAAATAATGCTTAAAAGGGTCTAAAAATGACGCCGTCCGGGTTTCGCTGCGACTGTGCTGCGCGCCCCGCGCAGGCCTGGTGATGTTCTGAACAAAAAAAAAAGAACGTTATGACCAATTCTGCAATACACCACACATACTCGAAAAATGTAAACAAGCTAACCGACCAGCGAGTGACAAAACTTCTACGCGATGTACACACTGTCAGACGCTGTGTGAAGCAGATTTAGAACACTTGATTCGGGCATTCTCAGCATTATCAAAAGGCCGACGGCACATTGAACACCTGCTGCAAGCCGACATGGCCTCTCTACGGAATTTGATAAAGTTAGACCATGACTAACACAAAAGTCTCGCGATATACAGTAGTCAAAGCGGCCTCTCGCTCGAGTACTGTAGGAGAGGTCACCTGGCCCGTGCGAAGGCGTGTGTTGAAGCTGCTCCTCAACCTTTATGCCCCTTACGGCTTTCCAACTACATCCCCTAAACGACCAGAATTCATCCTTTTCTTTATTAAAAGCCACATTCAATCTTTCATGAGAACTTAAAAAAGTTCTTCATGAACTGTTCGATCTCTCAATTCTCTAGTTTTGTGTTAAAGGGATTTGTAATGGCAAGCCAAAATAGAATATAAGCATCTGGCGGTGAGACATGACACATCAGCACGCGAGGTATTTTAATAACGTCACTTGTTAACGGTGGGTTGTCCTCAAGCTTTCATGCAGCCGCGTCTACAAAAAAGCAAAATCAATCTATCTGGATTGGCCAAATTGCCAGTACAATGTGTGATAATTCAATTCATTCTTGCATCACTGCAGGAAGCGAACTATCCGACAATTTGACGGACATGCTTCATCACAAGTCACCATTAAGGGCATGAGCATTAGCAGCAGAAGAAGACAGTTTAGGGAGAACCATTATGGAAAGAGCTGTTCTCGGGAGCATTCTGATTGCTGGTTACTGGACTGCCTACGCCAACGGTGCGTATATATATATATATATGGTGCACACGTTTATGAAAAAAATACTCGAGCACGTTGAGGTATTTAGAGTCGGCGCTTTCACCTTTATGCAGGATATTAGTGTGGCTTAAGTTTGGTTCTAAGATCGCTTTGGGGTTATTGTGCTAACGTACTGACCGTACATCTGTCACATCTTTTTGCGCCATGGAGCCCCGTCTGTTCTCCTGAGCGATCGTGGCAAAGTCTCTCTCTCGTCTATTGTCGACCAAGTTTTGCGTGCCTCCAAAACTGTTCACAAGACCACTTCTAGTTACAAACCGCAGACCAACGGATTGACGGAGCGCTTTCATCGGACCCTCTCAGACATGATGGCGATGCATATTCACCCCAACCACACGAACTGGAATGAAATCCTACCCTTCGTGACATTCGCCCACAATACGGCTGCTAAACGCTCGACCTGCTTTTTTCAATTTTTTCTCGTCCATATTGGCTCGCCGAGTTTTTCTCTAAATGTCTCTTCTTTCGGTCCCTGCACCCTCGACAACTCCTTTCTGTGAAAAATTTTTATCTCGTCTCGCACATTGTCGTTACTTGGCCCGCGTTAACACCGGTCTCTCTTAAAACACCCGATGATCTCGCTACAACTCGTCTCGCCGTGTTGTGATTTTTTCCCCTGGCGCCGAAGTTCTTCTATGGACTCCACTGCGCGTCCCCGGCTTATGCGACAAATTCATCAGTCGCTTCATTGGGCAGTACATGGTCTCTCCTGTCAATTACCGCGTTTCCCCTCTTAGCACTAATCCTGATTATCGTTACCGAGGAATATAGATACTACATGTATCTCGTTTAAAGCCTTATACATGACACACTTCATATTACTCACAGGTGACCAGGTGGCCGCTTCCCCCACACGGGGTTTGGTTGGTTGGTTGGTTCCTCAACAACTTGGCGCCACCCACCTAGGAAATAGACCATGAATGGGGCGGTGCCTTGCTTTTTAAATTATTTCACTTGTTGAAAATAAGTTTTGAATTTATTAGGTAATAAAGGCAATAAATAAAAGGTGTTAGACTTCTCAACAAAAAAACGAAAAAAACCTTTAAAAGGATTACACAACAAAACACACAAAAAGGGAAAAAATCTATACATAAAATGACTGAATTAAGTTATGTTTAGCATTCCATTCTTTTAGATTCTCGTAAAACGATTGTAACAGCGGTAAAAACGCACCTGTGGCTGAAACCAAATGTGATTGTGCCAAATGAAAGAATCACCGAAGTTTAAGCCCCACTTTCGTAGGGGTTCTTCTAGTAGTCTTTTCCTTTGATTTTTGAATTTTCGGCATGACAAAAAAAGTGCTCCAAAGATTCTCTCTCTTTACAGTGAAGGCAAAAAGGCAACTGTGCCAGACCCTACCTGTGAAGGTAAAAGTTTAATGATGGGACTCGACAACACAGCCTTGTAGCCACTTTTCCTTCCTTTCTTGATGAAGACCACTTGTTCTTCCAAAGGAAGTTTAGCTGTGAATAGTCTGATAAAAACAAAGGAGATTTTTCGAAGTTATTGGCCGTTGTGAGTTTTTCAAAGCGTACTGTTGTGATATATCCAGAAGTAGGCAAAATAGGTAAAAGAGGATAATCAAGGGAAGATACAGCTAGCGAATCTGCATTCTTATAAACGGCTAAACCTTGATGGCCTGGTACTCAAAGCAGTCGAACCAGTCGCACATGCCTAAGAATGAGCGAGTAGAAAGTTTCTAAGGTACGCAAAAAAGTTGGTGAGCTTAAGGCAGGACAGACCGAGAGACAGTCTGTTCGAACAATCCCCGCTGATAGATCTTGGGGCACTTTACACAATGCTAGGACTATTGCCAGTAGGTCAGCTGGGTAAACAGGGATAAAGTCGGGTAATCAAATTGAGAAAGCCCAATCTGGAGAGGATGATACTATTTCTACGCCGGCCTTCTCTTCATGAACGGAAGCGTCAGGCACTATCGCAATGGTTGTTTCTAGATTGGCCAAATGATTTTCCAAACTGCCATTTATATATTGACATGTAAAGTTTTGGGATTCTTGGGATATGTATCATCAAATTCAATTCTAATTTTATCTACAGTGCTGAGTACAAGTATTCCCCAAAGGTTAACTCTTAGGAGGTCCTAAATTTTCTGTATAGGTATTACTTTAGGGCACCGTAATTTAGACCATTGGTAGTTAAAAAATGAGGTCTGCTGGTTAGTGAACACATACTGTGACCTCCTCTGAGGTGATGCATAGATTTTAAGGAATGTTCGTACTGTTAGAAAATGAACTCTTTTGATAAGAGAAGGCAGGCGGGATTCTTCATATAGGTTATTTGCAACATATTTAGGTAGCCCTACGCATATGCGTAACGATTCGTGTTCCAATAAAATCAGTGGTCGAACTTTGTAAGCCGCAGTGCCAGAAAACAAAAAGCAGCCGAATTCTAAAATTGGTCGAATGTACATGCAATATATCATGACGATCTCCTCTCTACGCAAATTGGCACATTAATTATCGAGTCTGCGCAGCATCCCTACAGCACGTGCTCCTTTAGCAGCCATGTTCAGTTAATTGTTTCGGTGTAGGTTACCCCCAAGTACCTGACTCCACCTGAGGTATGACGCCTTGTCGGTACAATACTGAAATTCGCACTGGGGCATTTTGTGTGAAAAATATGATTGTGCTCTTTTTTAATATTGGTGTATATGTTGATATCCTCCAGCCCCGTTTCCAGGCTATTTATGTATGTCTACAGAATCGGGTACAGAGAGTGAATGGCCCCCGACACAGCAAAAAATGGGATATCATCGGTGCATAGTAGTACAATGGTACATAGTAGTACATTAAATAATAAGGGCGATAGTGCTGACCGTTGCGGTAGACCTCTTGTTTGCCTACATATTGGAAAGTTGACACCTGAGTGCGAGCAGTAAAATTCTCTATCACTTAGGAAAGCATAGATACAGGCCACAAAGTATTGAGGCAGTCCTAAGTTCTGAAGCGAATCTAGCAGTTTCATATGCTCCACGCTTTCATAAGCTTTTGTGATATCTAAGGTTACCAGAGCGAAATATTGTTTCTGATATCGAGTAAGCTGAAATCTGCTTCCGAGATCAACATGCCACACCAAATGGAGCAACCACGTCTCAATCCAATTTGACATGGGCTCAGTGTCATTTTTTCGGACATCCATCAATCTATACGTTTATATAAAATTCTTTCGACGAGTTTTGCTAGGTTCGATGTAAGTACAATGGGCCTGATATTATCAAAGGTAAACCAAGTGCCTTGCTTTTTTTAATAATGACACCACTTTCGCCATTTTCCAATCGGATGTAATTCAAGAGCTTCTAAGTGAGAGATTAATAATTCCGAGTAGGCCAAGTGGATATATTTTATGTACTGATTTTATCACCGATGTCGTCATGTAATCAGCACCAGGAGCAGAATGGGGTAGTGTTCTGACTACGTTTGCTAGTTCTGCAGGTGTGACCTCTTCAAAATCCTCAGCCCTATGGGGGAACTGGGCATGGTATGAGAGAATTGTTGTAAAGCGACTTTTTAGGCCCTGAGCTATATCTTCGAGAAAGGCCTTCAGTTCAACTGGTGGTGATAATACAGATTCTACATTTCATAGTACCGGAAGAACTTTCTTATTTCTCAGAAAGCGAAAACGTGCTTTCTATTGACCGGCTTTGAAAGGAGCTCACATCTTTCGTTGTTAAATTAGCCATTAACATTAGCAATGGTTCTCTTAAATATAGCTTCCGCATACTTATAATCACCCCAGTTCCTGGGACACTGGTTTCCCGAAAGAATACAGATCGCAAAAGTCAGAGTTTTGTTTCAAAAGGCGACAAAAATGATATTCAGAATGACAGACTCATATCTATTTTGTCCGTGTTTTCGAAAGGGTTAGAAAAGCTTACGCACCGTCAACTGTGCCAATTCTTAGAAAAACACAACGTGACTTCCCTAACTCAGTTTGGTTTCAGGAAACATCGATCTATGGAAATGGCAATATTAGAACAAAAGGAGCTCATATTATCTGAATTTTAAAACAAATGTGTTGTTATCGGTATGTTTGTTGATTTTAGTAAGGCCTTCGACAATATTCAGGATTCTACATTGTTTGAAAAGTAACAATGCTATGGAATTCTTGGCCATGCACTAGACCTAATAAAAAGATACCTTCAATAACGCAAACAGGTAATTTAAATAAAGAGAAAAATCTCAGAACTGAAGCCTATTACTAAGGGTGTACCTCAGGGAAGCATCCTGAGACCCCTTCTTTTTATAGCCTACATAAATAATTTAACTCGTATATATCCAGATGCTGAATAAGTATCATATGTCGATGATGTCAGCATGTTTGCTTCAGCTGAAAATATTATCGCGCTTGAGGAAAAAATGAAACAGTTTCTTGTGAAACAAAAGCTCTGGTCATGCTGTAATAATTTAAACATAAACACTAGTAAAACAAAGGTGGTACTATTCCGACCACAAAACGAGTCCTTAATGAAAACTTACATCTTAAGTGTGGCAATACTTATATTGAGCTTCTAAATAGTATGGAAATTCTTGTAGTTGCATTTTCGAGCAATGTACTTTGGAACGAACACAATGGCAGCGTGCTGGGTCAGTTATCTCGCGTAGTGAGTATGGTGTACAGTGACGAAACTGTTCTACCATACAAGCTAAAACTCTTACTTTATAGGTCACTTTTCTATTCACATCTTACCCATTGTTTCTTGGTATCGGGGACTACAACATACACGAACTTGCGAAAATTGTACCTGATACAAAAGAAGTATATTATAATCATTTTTAAGTTGTATGATGCTCACACAAGCGAATTGTTTCAACAGGCTGCAATACTACCCGTACATCGTCTTTACATTTTTAAGTTAGCATTGGCGATCAGGCGTGAAGTGAAAGAAAGTCGAACCTTTTTGTACGACCTCTCGAGACTGCAGCCAAATATTAAATTGT